TAAAACAAACCAGGGTCAGTCCAGGAGGGTTTCAGCTCTGCCCCGCTGAGTTGGAGACTCTTCCTAGACTTAAATTTGGTTTGGAAAACACAGTGACTTGGGGAACGTACATTTTGAGCTCCAAAAGGCCTTTCAGTACAAAAGACTGAAAATGCCCAAGGCCGAAGTCGTGTTGGGATAAGTGAAGTTAAGGGATGAGATGTGTTGGGATGGTTTGGCACCCAGTTGGACCCGAGTTCTGGCAGGACAGGAACATCTCCAAACACCCTGACAATGAGCTGTGCAGTCATTTCATCACACCTGTCCCATCCTCAGAGCCCTTGGGGTGTCAGTCACTGATGACAAAGGGCTCTGGCTGGTGAATTAAGAGCTGGGCCATGGAAAAGTTGCCCTTGGGGCAGCCCCGTGTCCACCAGGGCAGGGGGACCCCTAAAACAGCAGCCTGATGGTGGTGGGTGGTGTTTGTGTGAGGGGGTGGACAAGTGATGGGGCAGGAACTCCTGGTGTGTGTCAGGTGGGCGACAGAGCAGCTACACTCCTAACTGAGGGGGGATAAATCCAGAGCAATTCCTTTTGGGTTCAGAGGGAGATGTTTTCCGGAGTTCCCACAGAGCAGGGAAGGTCTAGGAAGTGCCCTGGGTAAGAAGCTGTTCAGAGATATTGAGGGGTATTCCTTGGGGACAACTCCCCAACAGGCAGAAGGAGATGCATGGCCTAATCCCAGAGCTCGGGGCGTGAGGAGAAAGGCTCTGGATGGCATAAGGAGGTTTGTTGACACCTCTGCCACAAGTCATTTCCAAAATGCTGCAGCTCTTCACCTCTGGAGGCCGGTTTCTCACACAGGATCAGCTCCCAGATCTCCTCAGCTGTTTGCCCTGTGTCCCCCATCCATCCCATATTTTTCCGGAGTCACCTCTCCCAGCAGTCGACGTTCGGGAGCGTTGCTGCCAGTCTGGCTCTGCTGGAGCTGTGCCAGGAAGCCCACGTGGTGTCTGCTCTCCAATTTCTCACTTCTGGGGTAATTTCTCAAGTACCAAACTTGCACTTTTCATGTCACAACACGTGACTTTGGGCAGGAATAAATTCCCACTGGGGCTGAAGGTGGCGGATTCCCAGCAGCACGGAGGTGAAGATGTGAGGTTGCTCGTGTTTTTACCCTCAGAAGATGTTCATAAATCCTATTTTTGAAGAGTTTCTGAGGTGTGGGCAATAAAGAATGAGGTGGATGAGCTTAAAATAGAACATGAGGGTGTTTGGCAGGGGAAAATACTTTGGCTTCATCTGGCTGAGGCGAAATCTTCCTGGGGCTGTTGCAGCTTCGAAGCTCAGCAGAAACAAACTGGTTTGTAGAGGTTTAGGGGAGAATTAGTAAAACAGAATAAGGGAATTATTTGGGTTGGAAAAGTCCTCCAGGATCATTGAATCCAGTCACTCCCCCAGGACTGCCAAGGCCACCACTGACCTATGTCCCCCAAGTGCCACATCCACAGGGATTTTGAACAGTATCAGGGATGGGGATTCCACCCCTGATCTGACCCCAAAGGCACTTAAACCCCTCTTCTAAAATCTACTTCCTGAACCCCTTTACAATTCATCTTCTAAAAAGAGGGAGCCTAAAAGCCATTAATCCAAAGCAGCATCACACCAAGAAGGAAAGGGGTGAGCAGAGCTGGAGAGAACAGCCCAGAAATCTGAAAAACATACATGAAAAATTAAAGGCAGCTCTAAAACACCTCCTTGCTGCAGCCCCACGTGCTCCTGGTTGTTTGTTGGAGTTTTTGCAGCAGCTCTTCCCAGAGCTGTGTGTTTTCCCTGGGGAGAACATCAAATGAACACTGGCTTCCTTGCTCCTATTGATTGTGGAGATGATATTAAATTAAAATAAAGGCAGAGAACAACTTTTGATTTCTTGGGCGAGGAGTCTCATCAATTTTGTTCGATGTGTTTTCACCTCATTTTCTGTTTCTGCATCATCACAAGGCCCAGCAGAGCCAGAGGCCCTTCAGGGGCAAATCCATACAAGGAGAAAGGAAAGGATATTTTCCTTCTGTCCCTGATATTTTCATGTCAAGGGGGTTTGATCCTCTGGCTTGTTATTTTTGATTCAAGGTGACAAGATGTGGCAGGAAGGGAGCAGGGCCTGTCTGAGGAACTGGGGTTTCCAGGGGGAAAATCAGACACTCCTGAGCCCATTCCTGATTCTTGGATCCAGACACCCATGGAATGTGGATCATCCTGAGGGACTACAGCTTTTGCTTCCATGAGGAGGCTTGTTTGGGGTTATTTGAGGGATGAAGAAGAGCCAAGAAACAAACCCCATCTCTCTTTGCCCTTTAACCCCCCAAAAAAGGAGAAGGACCGGTGATTGAGTCCCAACCCGGAGGGTTTTAAAATAGGTGTGGATGTGGCACTTGGGGACACGGTGGTCTTGGCAGTGCTGGGTTGGACTCGATGGCCTTAAAGGTCTTTTCCAACCTCAATGATCCCATAATTCCATGAATACACATTTGTCTCCACCTGCCCAAAATAACCCTGGAGTCTCAGTAAGTGTCTGGCTGGAAAACCTTTCCCAAAGCCACAGTTTTCCTGCGGTCTGAGAGTGGTTAGATTTATTTCAGGTTGATTTTTCTAAAACCCCCCCAGTATTGGAAATTTCAGGAGTGGTTTTTTGAGCTGGGTTCAGAGGTGGTTTTTTTAGAGGTGGTTTTTAGAGGTGTTTTTTTGCTGGATTTGCCAGCAGGTGCTGGTGGTGCCTCAGATGGAACTCGTGGCCACCCAGGACTGTGTTTGTCGTGGTTCAGACTCAGTTAAGGACTGTTATTAAAGATTAGGGGATTCAGAACTTGTCTGGGGGGATTATCCAGCTGCAAAGATCAGGAGAACCTCTTGGTGCTCCATGAGTTTTGTCACCTGGATCCCATCCCTCGTGGATGAGCAGGGTACACGGACAGCCGTCACCACCTGTGCCCGTGGAATTAGGGGGTCTTTAAGGTCCCTTCCCCCCCCAAACCATCCTGGGATTCTACTGGACCGTGTGTCAAGCTGGGAGAATTTTAGGGAAAATACCCTTGGAGTGAAGTAGAGTTGGTTTAACACTCCTGGCCAGGCAGGTCAGGGTGGAAAGTGGGATTGTGGGGGAAATGGGAAGACTGTGGAATGATGAATGTCCTGGAGAAGAAATTATTCTCTTCTAATGAAGTGGAGGGTGAGCAGGATATTTGTGATTGAGGATCATCATTAATGTTCCACCTGCAATCACTGGGGCTGCAAATAACCTTCTGAGGAGCTCTGTGATTGCTGAAAGGCTTCAGATATTCCTGAGTACGACAACAACGGAGTTTCATGCCTAAAAAAAATCTCTGTTAAACTGCTGCTTAGCCAACATTAACTCCAGCAATTTTTAATTAACCTGATTTAGAAGCCAAACATATCCCTGATGAAAATGAGAGGGTAGAACACACAGTCATTTATTCCACTGCAGTGGCCACGAGTGGTGATTGAGATTTATTCCAGTGAACTTCAGAATTTGGCCACGGGGTTTAGGAATTGGCACGTGGTGGAAGAGATTTGGGGCGTGGAGGGAGAGATTCCAATGGCATTGTGTGGACGCTCGGAAAGGGGGAGGCCAGACCTGCTATATTTTTAATATTTTAATGTTCTAAAATATTGAAAAAAGAGGAGTATGAATTGACTGCTAATTAAATCTTTCCAGCCTTTTTTGGCAGTGTCTGAGGGAAGGAAGCCTCTCCAAGGGTCACTTTTCACCCTTGAGTTGGTTCTGCTCTGGGATGGTGTCCAAGGGGACAAACCGTGGTGGCAAGGTCAGCAAAGCCAAATTCTCCACCAGAAAAGGAGGATTAATGTGTCCTGCTCTGTCTGCCCAAGGGATTTGTGCAGGAGCACGTGAGAAGGGATGGAGTTATCCAGGTGTTGCTGTTTCCAGGGGGAAGACTTCCAAGAAATGGAAGGAAACCAAAGCAGAATGATGACAAGGGATGGGATCTGAAGGGATGCCTGGAGCTGTGCCAGGGGAGGGTCAGGTTGGATCTCAGGGAAAAGTTCTTCCCCCGGAGGGTGGTGGGCATGGAACAGGCTCCCCAGGTTGGGCAGTTCCAAACCTGCCGAAGCTCAAGGAGCCCTTGGACAACACCCTCAGGGACAGGGGGGGATTGCTGGGGTGTCCTAGAGCTGGACTGGATGATCCTTGTGGGTCCCTTCCCACTCAGGGTATTCCATGATTTTCTAAAAATGGAGCAGCCTAAGGTGGGGAGGTTTTTGTCTGTGGAATCCACAGAGAACAAGAACTTCCATGGAGTGAGAGTTGGCTCAGACACCTGCACTGGGTGTGGGGCACTCAGAGTCTGTCCAGCCCTGCTCAGGTGATTCTCCCTGAACTCTCCATGACCCATCCAAGTGAAGCTGATGAAAACTGAAGCCTTTTCCAAAGAGCCCATTAAATCCCCTCCCGCGGCTCCGAGGGGTCGGAGCTGCCGCGTGCGTTCCTTCCAGGTGGCCTGGCAGGGAATCGGGGCCCTCCCGGGATGGCACTTGTGCAGCCAGGAGTGAAAACAAGCCTGGCATGTTTTCCTACAGCATCCCTTCAGCAGGAAACTCTGGATAATGGGAGCGCTGAGCGCTGGGCTGGGTGCTGAGCTCTGCCAATGCTGCCGTGCAGCCAAGGAAAACCTTTCCAAGCCGGTTTTCCATGGCTGAATTCAACATTCAGAGCATGTGTTTCCTCAGTGCTTTTCTTCCAAGCCCAGTGCACATCCCTGTTTTCTGTATTCTGGTCATTGCCCTCATTTTCTACAGGAATAAGGATGAAATATTGATGATGTCACATGGACATTCCCAGTTTTTCCTACATCCTGGGAATACAGCCGTGTTTTCCCTCCCGGCTGTGCCCGTTCCCTCTCTGCTCACACATGTTTGTTACTTTCCGGGGGTGTTATCCTGGCTGCCTGTTGATAAAAATCCTGATTTGTTTGGTCTCATTCCAGGTTATCCCACGGGATATCCCACGGCTGCCCCGGCCTACAACCCCAACATGTACCCGACCAGCAGCCCCGGCTACGCCCCAGGTAAAACCCCTCTGTGGAGGAGGGAATTCCAGCAGTTTCCATGTGCTTGTCAGCCAATCCCTTCCTGGGAAGAAGCCTTTGTTGGGGGTCTTCCCTTCCTAACTCTGCCATTAACTTCACACCTTCCTTTGGGAATATTTGTCTGTGTTGCAAAGCACTTTGGAACTACGAGTTATATCTTGATACGAATCCCAGGAATTTTGCAGCCCTCAGCACTGGGATATCAGCAGATTGATGGCACTGATTCCCTTCTCTATGTGTGTCCTGCTCTCCTTCCATGCCACAGCTGCAGGAATGTCAGGAGCTGTGTCCTGTTTGGGGTCTGGATCTCCCATGCCTTGTCTTTCCCGTGGCACTGCCAGAGTCTGTCCCTGTGCCTCCTCCTGTCCTTCACAAACTTGGGCCAAACCTGGGAATTCTTCTTCCCCTTTGGCAGCACCAGCTGCTTTCTTCCCTATAAAATCTCGTTTTCCCCTGGTATTCCCAGGGATCTGTTGGGTTTGATTTGGGTTGGTGTGCTTCTGGGAAGGTCTTTAGCTGCATTTCTTCCCACTAAAAACCTTCGGAAATGAGTTTTGTCCCTGCGCTGGCCACCCTGAAATTCCCCCAGAGGATAAACCACTGGAAGAATAAAGGGAAAAGAGCTCCACAGACTAAGAAAAAGCCCATAAATTTATTAGTAGCTTGTCCTGCCAGAGCCTGGCAACGTCCTCCCTGCTCAGCCAGGGATGTAAATCCTGCAGCATTCTGGAATGTTGGCCTGGAGCTTGGAGTGGAAGGTGTTCCTCGCCCCACAGCACAGGGTTGGAACTGGATGATCCTTAAGATCCCTCCCAACCCAAACCATTGTAGGATCCTATGACTCTTCTTGGGATTGGCACTGTAGGAATAGGGACCTGGAGCCAGCCCTGATCCCTTCCCTCTCCCAGTGTCAGGTTTCTGGTGGATTTTTGCTGATGTTTGAGCCCCAGAATAGGATAAATTCCTCACCAGTTTATTCCAAAGGAGCCTTTCCCAAGCAAAAGGATGAATTGGACTCCATGATCCTTGTGGGTCCCTTCCAGCTCAGGATATTCTGGGATTCTACCAATTCCAATTCAGGTTCCTGCCTTGCGTGATTTTCCTGTTGCTTTTTTCCACAGTTTTTAGAGGGAGAGACACAAGACACACCCCCAGCATTGCAAACTCTACTGGTTGCAATAAACCAGCATTTATTTAGGATTTTTCTAGGATACTGTTCTTCCAAAAAAAGGCCTTTTAAGTTGGTAAAAATGAGCATCTCAAATCACTGCTGCAGAGACACAATAAAAATAAAATAATAAATGTCTTCATTAAGCTGCCTGTTCCCTCCCAGGCTTTCTGCCTTCCCACAGTGGTTGTTGTGGTTTAACTCCCTTCATCAAGGCTTCTCTTTTTATTTTCCTGAAAGTAGGACACACACTTTCCTCCTGGAGCCTTTAGCTGCACTTATTAATAATGCAGGGGAGAAGGACGGTTTACAGCAATGCCCTTGCATTGCAGAACAAGAGTATTCCAAAATCAGGAATTGTGGGACGGGATGGAGGCTCTGAAATCCTGGAATGGGTTGGGTTGGAAGGGTTCATAGATTTTCTTTTCCCATTTCAGTATGACTAAGGGTCCTCTGCAGGGACCCAGAGCTCACATTGTTTGCTCAGTTCCCACCTGGATTAAACAGATAAGGAATAAAAGCTCTTGATTTTATTTATTTTAAGGTGGGAGGCAAAACCAGATCCAGAAGACACTGGTTGGAGGTGGCCCTTAAAATGATATTAAATAATCATAGCTGGCTTGTGACCCCTGAGAGTTGCAGCTCTTCAAAGGACCAGGAGATATTAGTGTTCTGGAAGCCTCCTTGGTTCGCCTTCTGTGCAGCTTTAAGTGATGGATTCTCCAAGAATCCATGATTTAATGTTCAGAACGTGGGATTCTCCACCCCAAATTGCCTGGATTTTGTGGTGGGTTTGATGTGGAGAGGGAAAACCTCAGAGGAAGGACTGAGTGCAAATAAATTGTGTCAGTCTCGGAGATTAAAAAACCTCTGGGAAATCCAGAGGCAAAAAAGAATCTGATCCTGAATAAAAGCAGAAGGGAAGGAGTGTTTCTGTCCCAGGGTTGGAGTTGGGTCTCCAGTGGGATGTTGCTGAGTGCAGTGTGCCATGGAAAATAAACCAGGCAGCTTGGAAATCCTTCATCACTCCCAAAGCTTTGGGAGAGGGTGAGGCTGGAGCAGGAAGTGATCAGTGCCTGAGTGGAGGAGAAACTGGGCTTGGATCTCTCACTTCCCACAAACCTCCTGGTTTCACAGAATCCCAGACTGGCTTGGGGTGGAAAGGACCTTCCAGATCATCTCTTTCCACCCCCTGCCATGGGCAGGGACACCTTCCACTAGACCAGGTTGCTCCAAGCTTTGTCCTGCCTGAATTCTGTTGGTCCCTCCTCAAATTCCACAAGGTTTGGCTCTTGAGATTCTTCTGGATTCTTTTCCTTGGCACCATACATACTCTTCCACAAACTGGGACACAGGGAGACCTGCCCAAAGCCACTGCTGGCCTTCCCATGGTTCCTGAGGACCACCCAACACTGGGACAGGACGGTCACAGCGACCAGTGGTGGTGCCTCCAAGGGTTTTCCTGGGAATAAAATGCCTCGTGCCCGAGGCTCAGCCCATTTTCCTGCTGGGAATCACAAGGCCGAGGGCAGCCCTTGCTGGTTTGGAGGGACAGAGGTGACCATCTGGGGAGGGATGGTGGACACAGATCTGCAGGTCCCTCAGCTCAGTTGTTGTCCGTAAAAGGTGGGAGTGGAAGGGAAAGAGTAGCAAAATGATTCCATAAATGTGGGAATTGTCTCTCCACTGCTGTGTGTGACTCCTCTTCTCTGCCTCCACCCAAGCCACCCTCCTGATGAAGCAAGCCTGGCCTCAGACCTCCTCGTCCTGTGCCACCGAGGGCACCTTCCACCTCCCGGTGGACACCGGCACCGAGAACAGAACCTACCAGGCCTCTTCTGCAGCTTTCAGTAAAGACACCTTTCCTTTCTGGGGTTTGATTGCCTGATCTGGGCCCCTTTTGGGTGTTTATTTAGAAATGGGGTTATTTGGGATTGTATTTGGGTTGGGAGGGATCTTAAAGACCATCTCCTTCCAACCTTCCTGTCTTGGGCACCTTCCACTAGCCCAGGTATCTCCAAGCCTGGTCCATCCTGGACTTGATGGATGTGTTAAAGCCATGAGAAAAGAGAGCACTGACCCTCCTGCTGCTCCCCCAGAGGAGGAATTCTCCTGGAAGTGGAGAAGGTGAAACCTCTCCCTCAACTGTTTGGTCCCCAGGAGCGACCTGGTGTTTATCTCCAAAGGGACATTATTTCCTACTCCCTTTAAATGGAAAGAATTCCAAACTAAAGCCTGATTTTCAAGGGACAGGGCTGAAATTCTGGCTGAGCAGAAGCAGGGGGAGGAGATGCTGTTCAGGGATCACTGTCAAACAGGCTTTTCCAGGTGGAGCCTTGGAATCTCATCCCTGAGGAGGACAAATGTTTCCTCTGGGAGGGCTGATAAGCTCCCTGATAAGGCAGAACCTTTTAAAAGCCTTTGTGAGGCTTTCTCTTGGAAAAGGGATGTCCCTACAATTCTTTGGGGACATGGTGCCTAAAGTCACACCAGGCCAAATTTGACCAAGTTGTGAATATTTGGAAAAATACCAGTTTGTAATTAGTAAAAAATTAGATCTTGTTTGGTGAAATCAGCAATTTTAACAGAAACTGGAGCTTAAAGGCTCATTGTTGTCCCCATCTCCAGGCACCTCTCAGGGTGCTGAGGACTGGTAGCTCCCAAGATCTTTTTTGGAGAAAACAAATCCAGAATTGAAAAAAAAAAAATCCACTGGATGGAAAAACAAGAGGCTGAAGGCTTTCATTTTTTTTAGTTTATCTAAAAAAAAGCACAACTTGGAAGTATTCTTGAGGGTTTTCCCCATTTAGCAGTTAAGCAATAATGTTTAATTAATGGAGCCTCTAAAGGTTGGGAATTCAGGTGCTGTGACATCCCATCCTCGGGGCAGGTCACACCTCCTTTAGATGTTGCACCTTCCATGAGGTTTTATGGCACTTCCCTGCCAGGATCCTTCATTTTAGAGTATTCCCCACGTACTCAGCCTCTCCCAAATGCTGCAAAATGAGTTTAAGTTTCTTTAGGCCTTTGATAAAGTCTCAGTGTGGGACTTGGATGCTCCGGATAATGGGCAAGACCAGGGGATGCATTTCCTTTTCCTTAAATTCAAGCAGAAGAAAGAGAACAATTCCAATCTGCCCTGTGAGGATCACAGAACCTTCAAGGGATGAAATATTTCAAGGCACACATCATTTTCCCCTGGTGGGTGTCACAGAATCCTGGAATCCTGGAATGGTGTGGGATCTTGAAGGGATTTGTTCCAAACCCTGGTGATGGGCAGGGACACCTTCTACTATCCCAGGTTGCTCCAAGCCCTGTCCAGCCTGGCCTTGGACACTTCCAGGGGTGGAGCAGCCTCTCCTTTGGGCAAATTCTTCTCCATGGGATATCAGTAGATGCTGATGTGTCCCTCCATGCCCAGGGAGCAGCCAGTGTTCCATGACCAGCACCCCGAGCTCCTCACGTGTGTGTGGCCCAGCTCTGCTGCTGCAAATCCAAGCCTAAAGCTGGGATTACTCCTGTCTTTTCCAGGATACACCGCAGGGACTCCCTACAAGGTGCCACCGACCCAGAGTAACAACGCTCCTCCTCCCTACTCGCCGTCTCCCAACCCGTACCAGACTGCCATGTACCCCATCCGAAGTGCCTACCCCCAGCAGAACCTGTACACACAGGTAGGTGGGGCCTCCCGGGGGGTGGGACCTCCCCACCACATCCCAACACAGCTCCAAGCTCCCTGTGGGAATCTCCTCGGCTCCCAGGGCTGAGCACCCACGCCCGTGCGGGGTGGAGAAGCTTGTAGTGGGGCTTCGGGATGGTGGGGTGCCTCTCCTGCCTCCTCTGTTGGATGTCAGGGTACATCCCCATGGATCAGCCCTGCTGGGAGTTGGGACCTTTCCTCTCGAATCACACTGGCTACCAGGGATAGTCCTGGATGATCCCTGCACCCCGCTCTCCCCACCCAGCCCAGCTCTCAAACGCTGCTCTTCCTCAAGGCTCCTGGTGAGTCTGGGTCACCCCGAGGTCCCTTTGCTGCTGGTCATTGGCATCACCCTCCTGCCACCTCCCCTGTGTCCCCTTCACCAGCACCAGCCATGATCCGGATTCGTGTCCTCCTGGAGCAGCTCCTCCCTCAGCACCTGGATGGGATTTCCAGGCCCACCTTCCCTGCTGCTGCACGGCCACCACCTCCAGCCATGTGCTGGGGCCAAGAGCCTCTGCAGGGATGCAGTTCAGGCCAGATGTCCTCCAAAAACCACCTTAATTCCCATTCCCACTGAAGATCATGAACTTCCCAGAGCCATCTGGCCCTTCAGCTTCCCTGGCTTTTCCTCTCCTCTTTCCTGTCCAAAGACCAACTTCTCCAGCAGTGCTGGAGCTACCTGTCCTGGGGATGGTCTTTCTGTCCCTCATGTTTCAGGCCCTTCATTGTTTTGGGTGTGGAGCTTTTTCTGTTGGCTCCTTTTATTCCCTTGTTTCCAGAGTCTCTGAGTCTGGGCAGCCTGGATTTTGGAGCCCTGTTGGAAACCCAAGGAGATGATACACATCCCAAACAAGCACCTCGGGATCATCCAAGAGCCACTTGTCCTTTTCTTCCATCTCTTGTTCCTTTTCCACACCAGCAGCCAAAGTCTTGGTGTCCAGGCCCTGTTTCATCCCACCAAATGGTGGTTTGTCCCCAATGGATTGACTCCTTGATCCATGATGCTGATCCCCCCTCAGTCCTGTTGCCTCCATCCATCCCACACATCCACAGGGTCAGCTTCACCATTCCTTGCCCAGGTCTCCCAAGTCACGGGAGAGACACCCCGGGAAACAACCAGCCCTTTGGCAGTGCTTGAATCCCAGGATCTTTTAGGTTGGGAAGGCTCTGTAAAAACATGGAATGACGGTGGGTTTTCTCCCCTCCTTCTCCACCAGGGAGCTTATTACACCCAGCCGGTGTACGCGGCGCAGCCCCACGTCATCCATCACACCACCGTGGTCCAGCCCAACAGTATCCCGTCGGCCATCTATCCCGCTCCGGTGGCCGCGCCCAGGACCAACGGAGTGGCCATGGGAATGGTCGCCGGGACCACCATGGCCATGTCAGCAGGTAAGCAGGGAAGTCTTTCCACGCTCCGCACTTCCATCTCCCGGTGGGATGCATCCAGGCAGCCCGCGCAGGAGACTTATCCCGGATGAAAAATTCCCAGCCTTAAATTCTTTCCTCTGACTGTCCCATAAGTATGGGAATCCCCAGGCTTGTCCGCTCCAAACAGCTGGATTTCTCTCCTCAAGTTCCCTTTTTTTAGGGCTCTTATGGCCTTGTTTTTGTTCAACATTATCCTTGGTTTCTCCCTCCCGATTCCTCCACATTTTGTGTGCAGGATTCCTTGGATTGCTGGCACATGGTGGGCTGGGTTTATTTGTTTCCAAAGCCTGTATTTCTCTCATTAACAATTCTTATTGTATATTGAATTATGCCAAGAAATGCATCATTCATCCTTTTGCATCTGCACTGGCTGGGAAATAGGGCCCTATTATGGGATGCAAGCCCTGTTCCAAGCAGGCAGGGGTGTGACAGGAACCACTTGGAGATATTTACTGTCGCTTACTCTGAGAAATGGATTAATTAATGCATGTGGGATGTGTTAGATTTCCATTAATTTGTAGAGAGATACCCAGAAACCAGGAATTTGGTTTGAGCACCCAGTTGCTCTGGGAACGGAGCAGTCCAGGGCTGTTCTCCCTTCCCATGTAGGCACTGTGCAAATTCCAGCTTAAAATTCCTCTGGCTGAAAAAAGAGGTTACACCAGGCAGTGCCTTCATGGCTGGGAGAGGATCAATCCTGCTGCATCCCAAGGCTCTGGGTGTTTAAAGGAAGCAAAAGAACTCCTGGGAGATGAGTGGCAAAGCTCTTCCCAAGTTTCCCTGGAAGAGCTCTTGGGGGTTTTTTCTCACCTCCCTTTGCATCCCTTCTCCCTTCGAGTTTGATCCTTGGGTGTTTCAGATCTCCTGTTGTAGTTTAGCCCAGTGCCTTCAGTGGGTAAACGATGTCAGCAGGTCAGCTGGGCTGGTCTTTAGGGACAAGGAAAATTGAAAAAAAAAAACAACAAGGAAAACCCTTAAAAAGACAAGGCGATGACCAAAAGTACCATGGAAAACACCCTGGAGCTTCAGGTGTGTTTGTTCCACTCATGGCACTGGTTGATCCCAACGACAAGTCCAGCACCTTCCAGTGAGGTCTCACGGGCAGAAGAATATTTGGGATGATGGAAAAGCTAAAAGGAGGCAGCTGGTGCTGTTCCTGCCCCTGGGATGGGCACCACTTCCCTGAGGGAGCTCTCCTTGATCCGTGTTTCCCTTGCAGGAACCTTGTTGACCACCCCCCAACACACCGCCATCGGAGCACATCCCGTGTCCGTGCCAACGTACAGGGCTCAAGGAACCCCCACCTACAGCTACGTACCTCCACACTGGTAATCCACTGGCCAATCCATGTGAGTGATCCCTCTGCTCTGCCCTTGGGCATAAATTAACCTCCAGACCTCAGCCAGCCTGGCCTGGGACACTCCCAGGGATGGGGCAGCCACGGCTTCTCTGGGCAACCTGTGCCAGGGCCTCCCCACCCTCACAGGGAGGAATTTCTTCCCAGTATCCCCTCTGGCAGCTTAAAAACATTCCCCCTTGTCCTATCGCTGCATTCCCTTATCCAGAGTCCCTCCCATCACTGGGATATGGGTTTTTTCCCTATTAAAAGTGGATCTCCCTTGATGATCTTGGAGATCATCCTGTCCATGAGCACCAGAGTTGCTGCACATCCCTGTGGTACCCAGGATCCCAGAAATCCCAGGGTTCCTGCATGTCCCTGTGATGCTCAGGATCCCAGAAATCCCGGGGTTACTGCATGTCCCTGTCATGCCCAGGATCCCAGAAATCCTAGAGTTACTGCACATCCCTGTCATGCCCAGGATCCCAGAAATCCCAGGGTTACTGCACATCCCTGTCATGCCCAGGATCCCAGAAATCCCAGCTGCTTGTTCCTCGTTCATGGTGTCCAATTAACGCAGTTGATGGGAACACTGGGAGTCAGCGGATATCCCACCCAGCCCTGAGCTTATCCCAAATCTCTCCTTGGTGGGCAATTAGCAGGGAGCATCCCATCTTCATATCCTTGGCATTGGATCCCACCACTGAGCTCAAGGAATTGTCCTCAGAGATGGTTAAATTCCATATGGACTGTCTCTACGTGGTGCAGGAGTGCAGAGAACAGCCCTGATCTTCCAGAACTTGCTTCTAACTCCCTGGTTTTGGGTGTTTTCTCTTTCCCAGATCCGGAATCAAACATTGTATGCAACTCCACAAGTCTTACATCGGTGCCCCGGCCCCTGGGCCGCAGCACCTCGTCTGTTTGCAAGAACAAAACTCAACAAACCGAGTGCAAGGGTCACTTTATGCATCCTTTAGTGGTTTTTGTAAAAGCTGCTTTTTCTAATCTTCTGCCTCTCTTTGATTTTCCCCTCCCGTCCCCCTCCCACATAAATCGTGTAACACACATGACTGACACCGAGCAATAGTAAAGTTCTCTCTCTTTGGTCCTTGGAAAGCTCAGAATCTTCACTTTGCCAGCTGAGTGGTGCAAAGATCCCCCCACTTCGTGTTCTTTTGGGTTCTTCTGTCGTCGTCGTCGTTGCCCGAGCCTAGATTTGCAGCGTGGTTGATGTTCGGGGGACTGTGAAAAGCACAGCGCTGGTTTTAATTTAGACAGGCAGGTTTGTTCCCGTTTTTCTTTTTCTTTTTTAGTCGGAGATGATCAATTATTCAATCTTCCGTCACGTATTCCGAGCAAAATTGGTGTCTTCCAGAATAGCTGTCGTGGTAGGTTCGAAATCTGCAGTGGAATTCTGAACTCATCCTTTCTTTTTGTAGGAGTAAGAGGATATAAATGTGGGTAGCGCTTTTGTCGTAGGGAGGGCGAGGACTGGTCACCGGTGGGGGCCTTGGGCTGCTCTTCCAACTGGGAAAATGGATGGTGGCTGATGGGAAGGGACATGTGCCCTGGGAGCAGCTTGGGAAAATGAGGTGCTCCCCGTCAGCCACGTCCTGGGGCTGCGGGAGGGAGAAGGGGAGAGGTGGG